TCAGCATCAGCATCAGCATCAGCATCAACATCAACATCAACATCAACATCATTATCATCATCATCAACATCAGTCATCATAAAATGGAAATTGCATGATATGATTACATAGATTATATTTTTATTGAGTCATTATACGCATTGCCTTAGAATATATTCATTGACAAATTAAAGTAGGTAAACCGAGTTAGGAACTATCTAGAAGGTATTCTTTTCTTGGGGTTCCTTTTCATTCATCTTTCCTGTCTCAATAGTCACCTTTGGAGGACTGGGGTGCAGTCTAGGTGGATTCTCATTGGTGGTCGATTCGAGCACGTCATTAGAAGTAACAAGCCTTTCGAATAGTGAGCGCTTTCCCGTGAGGGGTTCCGTCTTCCACTGCACATCAGCATACTGACCAATGACATCTTCAAACTGGCCAGTTAAAGTGAACTCGTACACACCCTCATTCGATAAAGAATTGATGATCCCTTGCGCGGAGGAGTATTTAGATTTTACATTAGACCATTCCCAAGGGCGGACATTTCGATCACTTTCTTCTTTGAGAGCCTGGTAGAATGGTTTACTCGATGACCCAAAGCGGTACTTAAAGGTGGGCCTGGAGCCGCTTCCTCGGTGCCTAAAAAAAATTGCAAAAGTTCGATGAACGAGGCTTTGCACCATCCCGTGATAGCAGCCATGATAGGAAGCATAACAATAAACTAGTCCAATCTTTACACGAGAATTAAATAAAGCTTGCAAAGGTAAGAAGACTGTATTGTTGTGCCATTATGCGGCTGCCATCACGGGATGGTGCCTCCGATATAGAAATGATTGTTTTTAGTAGTAGACTTCACATAACTTTAAAAAAACTAAATATTCAACATAATCAATGTACAACATCAAGTGAACCAATCCCGCGCGAGTACTGGCCGCACAAGCAAAGTAGTGGTAAGAAGCAAGCGCAATTTTATCGCGGTTTTATTTTCTAAAAAAAAAATGCCTTTTTAACTATAAAGTCTTCTTATGGAGAACGTCTCAAGCGAGAAAGCCTCGGGATGGAGGGCAGGTGCAGGTGCAGGTTTGTTTTTTTTTT